CAGGGTGGAAACATCAGTTTAATTGTTTTAGTGACCAGAAAACAAATTTTGATATGCGTCGGCTTACCCAAAATGAAAGGTTACGTGCCCTTGGCATGCTACAGATCGGCACAACACAGGCGGTTGTGGCGCGGACGATGAATGTTTCTCAGTCTGTCATAAGCAGGCTATGGTCCAGATACCGTGATACACAATCTGTACAGGACAGACCACGCTCAGGTCGACCAAGGGCGACAACTCAAGCCCAGGATCGATTTATCCGTACCTTGGCCTTGAGAAATCGTGTCATCACAGCAAATCAGATCAGCGCTCGTCTTCAAACAGACACTGGTGTGAGAGTGAGTGGCCAGACGATTCGGAATCGACTGCATAGGGGTCACCTTCGCGCCCGACGTCCTCGCGTGATCCCTTGTTTGAGAGATCATCACATTCAGGCAAGACGTCAACACTGGGATAATCGACGCTGGAGCAATGTGATGTTTTCAGATGAGTCAAGGTTCACTTTTGATTTTTTGGACAGACGTAGGAGGGTGTGGCGTCGTCGAAACGAGCGCTTCCAAGACGTTAACGTCATCAGACATGATCGATTTGGGGGTGGTTCTGTTATGGTGTGGGGAGGCATCACTGTTGCTGGAAGAACGGCTTTACATGTTGTTGCAGAGCGTGTTACAGGCCAGTACTACCGGGACAACATCTTGGCAGTCCATGTTGTGCCGTTCGCACGACGTCATGGCCGCCGTTTCATCTTCCAGGATGACAACGCAAGATGTCACAGGGCCAGGATCGTTACAGGTTACCTCCAACAACAGAACATCACCACATTACCTTGGCCAGCACTGAGTCCCGACCTCTCCCCCATCGAGCATGTCTGGGACATGTTTGGACAGAGGTTACGTCAACGTCAACAACGTCCTGCCAATGTCCAAGAACTTGCTGCTGCGTTGCAACAGGAATGGGACAATCTGGACCAAAATGACCTTAGACGTCTCATTAGGAGTATGCCACGTCGGACCAATGCTTGTTTGGCAAACAGAGGAGGATTTACCCGTTACTGACTTGGTTGTGATGCTGTGGTAACTTTGCTGTTTGACCCCGGGTATCATTTTACCCTTATAATGGTCAGTCTGTGCCTTACTTAGTCTAACGATCATTTGGAATAAATCGATGAATGTGAAGTTCATTTCATTTTGGCATTTGTTTCTTCGTCAGTTTCATTAGGTGACTTTAATAACACTTAAAAATCAAATATCCCCTACTTTTTTTGAATAGTATATTACAATTCGGCGCTTATTCTGGTACGCTGTGGATTATTTATTTCTATGTTTAAAGGACCTTGACCAAAGCCGTATATAGATAAAGTTGCGACATGAAAATATGACGTCAAGTCTTAGTGTACAAAGACGCCATCTTAGGTCCCAAGTATTTGTACCTACTCACTATCTATTTTATGTTCTATCATACTGTTGTGTCGAACTTAGCTGCACTTGACAGGGATGTAGATGGATATGTCATAGAATTCCACGAAAAACAGATAAAACATACATTTTTTAAACGAAAAGTATAGCTATTATTATTAGTATTATTATGCAAAAAAACCCCGCACATTATTGTTATAATAATATAGTCTAATTCATAAGAAAATGAAATAAAAGATACACCAGATAAAAGCGCTATTAAATATATTTAACTTGCATACGCTTTTAAAAATCAGATTTTTTTGTGCAGACGGATAAAGTGAAAAATGAAACTTTAAATTGTAATTTGGGAGATAAAACCTTTTTACTTTCTAGTCGGCAAAATAAATGCCTGAAATTGCATGATGTTTTGGTCTAGAGCCATTCCGGATTGTGTGCCAGTTTTCGAAAATAGAAATTTCTTTAAATTGACTAATGGATAAAACATTTAAAATCGGCAAAACCTTAAAATCAGTGTGAAATCAGACTTATTTAAATAAAAGGTGTCTAGCGTGACATGTGTTTCATCCGTGACATGTGATACGAGATATCGCTCTCTGAAACTTTCTGGTTTCTTTTGCAATTTGTTTGGGGTAAGACGTTATCATTCCCCGCCCATATGTAAATAATAATATTAATCTAATATATAAACCGCACAAATTTAACAGATACAAATAATGTACATGTTATTCCACAGGTAGACAGGCACTGAAGGGGCCCAGTGAAGGGGACACAGTTGGTTTAGAGTTTGTCCGACTCGTTTGGGTATTTGCGCCCCTTTTCCAATGAAATAATCATGTTGTTCTGATGCTCAACTAGTATCAAATATATATCGTGTCTGAGATTTGTTACAAATCGCCTCAAGCATGTTCCACACATCGCAACATTTATCAGCTTTTTGTTCAATCTATAAAAGCCGACATTCCTACAAAATGTTTTGTTTAGTCAAGTCAATCAAGAAAATGCATAGGCTAAATGGAACAATAGAACAAGCACACCTTAATGTCGACAAACTATGAAATAAGATACTTCTATGATATGATTCAACCGAAAGGTCGTATATGCAACACGGATACATAATATCTATAATCAAGTTAAACGAACAGGATCTGTACATTTTAAGTATTATGTCGACAAATACGTAAAACTATGAAATAAGATTATGATATGATTCAACCGAAAGGTCCGATATATGCAACACATATAGATTATATCTACATAATAATCAAGCTAAACGAACTGTATGTACTCATTTTAAGTCTTGCGCCGAGCTGAATAAAGTATTTGAATTATTGTCATTAAAACATCTATTGGTGGTTAACAGCGCGGTGTACCAAGAATTTTCTACACCAAGTCTCTTGCATCCAGATATTTTTTGAGCGCTAACAATATATTCATTTAAGAGCAACTATGTCATTTCGCGATTAACATATCGGAAAATTCATATTCATTTGACGATCGACCTCCTTATTTACAAAACTATGGTACATAATGGTTTAGATATCCTCGACCCCCGGTCTGTCTCGGGTAGCATCAAGGCCGATAATTACCACGGGTTGATTTCTGTCATTCGGCCACAAATCACTATATAATTATTTCCCCATTGACTTTAATGTTAATTCTCGTCTCTTAGACCGGCTCTAACTTTTTCCCAAATTTTCGTTGGGTAGAACGATTTCTGCCACAGATGGAGCAACATGTGGCAAACTCTTGCCCAAAAGCATGTATGAGGTTCACCATGAAAAACTTGAGATACACAAGCTGGAAGTAGAGACAAGTAAACATGCAATTTCCGGCCCTACATTTCAACGTAACCAACCTAACAACTCTTGTATCCTTCCGCCTCAAAATCATGAATATTCACCAAAATCTGGCAGAAAATGTATTTTCAAACCCTTTTTTTCGATTCTACACCAAAAAGTCAACACAAATCGCCAAGCAAAAGGAGGGGAAAGGGAGAGAGAGACTAAAATAACTTTCGCCCTACATTCGTCACCCAGAAATATTTGGTGATCTGTGTCCATTCATTTCACGACAGGCTCTTGTGATTTCCACAGTAGTACAGTTTTTCACAAGCAAGAGACACTAGGGCTTTGACCTTGACCATCGTGACACGTGACAATTTTATGCTGATATGCAATTCCCAGGTCATTACTCCTTTCTATATTCCATAACAGGATGTAAATACATAAGTAGAGTAGGTTTCTAAAAATGAAATACTGACATCTGTTATGACCATGTACGACGAAAACAGCATGTTTGAACCTTAACCGAGGTTCACGGTGGCTAAGTGGGTAAGACGCTGGCTCGTAGCCTGGAGGTCGGGTGTTCGATCCCTGCATTGGCCGAGAAAGTTCATCCAGATTTTCCGGCGTGGCTCCCCCTTGTCAGTGGTGCAGGACAGAGGGCCTAACAAGGACAGCTGTCCAGACAAAGAACCGAGGTCCCATGTCCACATTGGCGTGCACGTAAAAGACCCCTTGACAGTTGGAATTTGATATAACAGTAGGACCTAATAATTTGAATGAAAATTTCAAGCACGGCCACCTCTTGATCAAACGCTGACATAATGTATCTTTAAGTTATCCGTTTTCAACTTTGATGTGAAGCACCAAGTTATGAGAGGACACACTCAATCGATATTAGCGGGGTTGGATGGCCGAATGGTTAGCACGTGTGTGCTGTATCATAAGGCCTGTCATTGAGACAAGTGGCGTAGTTACGAATCCCCGGTTGTACGTGGCAAGGATTAGGGTCGCCTGTACATCCTAGTGGGTTTTCTCCGGGTCCCCCGCTTTCCTCACACTGCTAAAGACCCCTACGCGCAAGCGAATTATTGAAATAAAATTAAACCATATGTTAGTCCCGAAATGACCTGGTTTGTGTCGAGAGGACGTTAAACCCAATTTCTCTATCTCTCCCTCAATCGATATTAAGCGCTCCAAACCTTTCTTTGTCGTGTCTGTAATATTTATCTACATGCATCATCTATATATGACCAACCAACAACCATGTGTGTTGAAGACTTTTTTATTCTCCTGGTGCATTCACTCGTGCAACCTCAGGTAGTGTCGGGTGTCGTGTATCTATATACCATCCAGATTACCCAGACCCTTGTTGTTCTTAGTGTTTAACGTCAGCTTCCACCGAAGGTGATATCGCAGACAAGTTGTCTTTGTTTTCATTTTCATTGTCTTAGCGTACGCGCAGTGGTCTTTCCTGTGGGAGTAAACCGGAGTACCCGGAGTAAATCCACGAGGTGGAGAAGGCGCCCCTATCTCCAAGCCACATACGCTCACACCAGGGATCGAAACCACAACCGCAAGCCAGAGGTCACCGGCTAGTTAGACGTCGACACGTGACACTCTAGACCACCACTAGCCCCCCCCCACCCCCGAATCACTTGATGAGCAAATGTTATATAATCAAGATACATGTAGTCTTGATTATCTGAACACTATATTACAGTGTCAAGGGGAGATTTTGACTATCAATCGCATAACCCGTTTAATTTTAAAAATACACTTAAATACAAACGGTGTGTTTACAGTCATTCATTTACATATTGTACGGTTTGCTCTGATTAACAAGCGTGTGGTTTTATTTTCATATAAAAAAGCCCTGAATTACAAAGCATTTTGACAGAACGGTATCATATTTAGACGGGGTAAGTACAACGTAACTAATATTTTGTTTCATTCATTCATATATTATTAAACTCAATGCATGCTATTTAAAAAAAAAGGGTTAGTTACAATATGTACTAAATTTTAAATTTTCGTTCATATGTTAAAGGTATCAGGTAAACCTAAAGAAATCACTGGCGGCGTATATAAACATTTATATTTTTCAGGTAAAGCAGTTTGAATTGATTTCTATAAAGCAAAATGGCGGTAAAACTACATTTGTTAGTTCCTGGTATATTTTTTGTATTGGTGTGTGTTATTGGGACAAAGGCATTTGGGTCATACACTGGTAAGTAAACATATTTAACTGATATGATATCAAATTAATAATCCTCCAATCGAAACAAACTAGGTTATTTCGGGACTAACATAATATGTTTTAATTTTATGTTAATAATTCGATTGTGCGTAGAGGTCTTTGTTTGGCAGTGGGGGGTAAACGGAAGACCAGGAGAAAACACACGAGATTGGATAGCCGACCCTACTCCTTTACGCGGGGAATCGAAGCCATGCCACTTGACTCAATAACAGACCTTGTGATCTTACACGCACGTTTAGTGCAATATAGCCCGGTTCATTCTTACACGCACGAGTTACTCGCATCCGCCACCCCCGTGGCATTTCTTTAGTTATAATTAACTTGACAAGTGTATTCTTCATGTGGTGTAGTGGTTATATGTAGATTGAAATTACTCTACTATTTGGAATTCAAAATTAATTTACGAGGTTATTGTATAACATTTCATTCAAAAGTTTAGTACAAAATTCAAAATTTTAGTACAAAATTCAAAATTAATTTACGAAATTCAAAATCTATTACAAAATTCAAAATTATTTTACAAAATTCAAAATTATTTTACAAAATAAAAAAAATTATTTTACAAAATTCAAAATTTATTTACAAAATTCAAAATTTATTTACAAAATTCAAAATTTATTTACAAAATTTATTTACAAAATTTATTTACAAAATTCAAAATTTATTTACAAATTTCAAAATTTATTTACGAATTTCAAAATTGATTTACAAAATTGAAAATTATTTCACAAAATTCAACATTATGTACAAAATTCAAAATTTATTTACAAAATTCAAAATTTATTTACAAAATTCAAAATTTATTTTCCAAAATTCAAAGTTTACAAAATTCAAATTTAAAATTTATTTACAAAATTCAAATTCAAAATTAATTTACAAAATTCATTCAAAATTTATTGACAAAATTCATTTAAAATTTATTTACAAAATTCAAAATTTATTTACAAAATTCAAAATTTATTTACAAAATTCAAAATTTATTTACAAAATTCACAATAGATATATTGCAAATTCCTGATTATTGAAAGCGTTAAATTTTAACATCCAAATGTTAGAGATTGTCCTCACCAATAATTGACATTAGATACTTGAGTCTAGATATTATTTACTGTTTTCAGCTGTTTGCGGTGGAAGCACATATGACACCAGATTCAGAATATGTTGCGAGGGACGACTTAACATCAGATCCGGCATCAGTCCAGCTTGCTGTGGTACAACCAGTTACGATTACAGCACTAGAATATGTTGCGGGGGACGAATTAACATCAGATCCGGCATCAGTCCAGCTTGCTGTGGTACAACCAGTTACGATTACAGCACTAGAATATGTTGCGGGGGACGAATTAACATCAGATCCGGCATCAGTCCAGCTTGCTGTGGTACGACCAGTTACGATGCCCGCTTCAGGAATTGCTGCGGCAATAGGGTGTGTTAATTGTTATAAAAGGGCTACTATCTGCCCGGCGATTATGAAGAAATCTCCAGTGCAAAAGGAATTTCATTTTAGTATGAGAGAGCAAAGAGACGTTATAAAGATATGGAATTGTTATACATGTACACTCCGTGGCGAATCAGCCCCCTAACACAACAAAACTACTTAGTATCTCCACGTAAACTTAAAGCTGTGCTTTCGTAGAAAAATAAACTGATTTACATTTAATCGTTTCTGTTTTTACTGTAATTTCTAATCAGTTATGTTCAACGAATGGCAATCTCTAGCGTCTGGTTATTCAAGTCTACACCGATAATATTTATTATGTTTGTCTCCAGATAAGAATATGGGGTCACCGTTTGGCACGACTTGTAGAATATGTCTAGCCTCGTTCTTCGAGTCCCATGTTACAAATGGCGCTGAAAATGTTTATTGTGTCTTAAACATTGGATATCAGAACCCCATCTTTTCCCGGTAAGATCACAACACCAATGTTGATTTAAATTGACAAATATTTCATGTTTGCAATGTCGAGGACTTTCAGTGAGAGTTGGCTACTTTAAGTGTGTAAGAAAAGTATGTAAATATCCCTATGACAACCCGTCAGCTAGCCTATTCCCAGCACAACCCATAACAGCCAAGCAACCGAAAACATTGCAAATTGAAATGAAATGGGAATTGCCTCCTACTTTTCTGACGAACATGACAAATTAATCGGCTCACAGTCAGGTGTTATGTCGTTCGAGAACGAAATACAATGGGGTTTAGTGTGCTACCATTCTGTTCCGACTGGGCTGGTGAAGACGATCATGCGTTATACGGTGTTCTATGCCGGATGTTTTTCCCGTTCCGAACATTTCATTTTCTTTCTGGGGGTAGTTGGATGGCCGAATGGTTAGCACGTGCGCGCTGTATCATAAGTCATAAGGTCTGTCATTGAGTCAACTGGCGTAGTTTCGATTCCCCGGTTGTACGTGACAAGGAGTAAGGTCGCCTGTCCAACCTCGTGGGTTTTCTCCGGTTTCCTCCCACTGTTAAAGACCCCACTGCTAAAAGAATTGAACTATGTGTTGGTCCCGAAATGACCTAGTTTGTGTCGAGTGGACGTTAAACCCCCCTCTCTCTTTCTCTCTCATTTTCTTTCTGTGTATCCAACCGGTGTAGGACGTTAAACGGCTTTTCACTTTTCATTAATATTCATGTCGATGCAGTGCTCTTTAATCATAGCGAATCCATATTATAAGAGTTGTTCGGGTGGGGCGAAACATCCAGGTCACTTGTATACAGTCAAATTGTGGTGAAAATTGAGTTAGACTTGGTATATAATATGGGTTTTTCTCCTTCACCGAAAAGGCTTGTTTTATAGCCAGTAGCTTAATCCTGAAACAAAACAGTTTCATCTTGTTTTCTCAAATTTGCATTCTAAAGACTTTCCAGATTACAGGAGATTGGTGTGGCCTTGCCAGTTGGAATTCGTAGCTCTATTGTCTTCCATAGCACATTTGGGGGGCGTATGTCCGTCGTCATCAACCTAATCGGTTCCGAAAAGTGAGTCGCTAACCGCCATTTCATTTTATTTCATTACAAGAGTTGTTCTTAGTAAAACATGAGAGATTATAATTTAATTCTTTATTACGTGTTTGTGGCTTGAAGTTTGCTCTACGGGGATAAGAGAGTGAAGCGGACGTCCTGTCTCTACATGATGCTGTATTAAACAAGTAATTGATGTCATTGTCAGATATTGTTGTGGTATTTATATAAAGATGAACTGTCTCTTCACTTCCACACGCCCCGAGCAACAGATCAGCTTAAACCACAAGGGTAATCAATGTCTACTAAAAATGGAAAACAAAGTTGACTGAAGATATTTGATTGTCAGAAGATATCTGGTATTAGTTAAAGTTCTAATTCCCTGCATTTGATTTATCAATCTTTTATCGATTGACCATTTCATAGGGTGTTCTTGGGCGGCCCACGCTAATATAGCAACCGAGGTTACATTTCCATTTTTATTATGAACGAGCTCTAATCGGAAGATTATTAATAATATCGTTGTTTATGTTCCTAAAGATCGGTAAACCCAACTTTCAGGAAAGCCGGACTTAACCCTTTGATGGTTTTTATTTAAATTTTTCTGATTTTGACATATTGTAGAATTCAGGATTAAAATACCATTTTCAAACCATTTCGACATATCTTCCATAAACCTTTCTCGTGCTTAATCCCGTCCCAATAATGGGTCGCTGCTTATTGATACAGTATTTTACAAGACATTATAAACGATCTTCCATAAACCTTTCTCATTCTTAATTCCGTCCCAATAATGGGACGCTGTCTATTGATACAGTATTTTACAAGGCATTAAACGATCTTCTCATTCTTAATTCCGTCCCAATAATTGGACGCTACCTATTGATACAGTATTTTACAAGACATTAAACGATAAACTGATAGAAATAAATACATAAATATCTGTAGCATCTATCGCGTTCACAAGGTCTGTGGACAAGGGAGATTACTCCGAAATGGAAGGCTACTAAACACTGAATATCAATAATGTTTGTACACTCATGACCCCAATGGTTGACACAAAATTTGAAATAAATCCGGTACGGAAAGTTCTAGAACGCCGAATTTCAGCAGTGATCATCCTTGGATGAGCCCAGTGCTTCACACGAAATTTGAAAACAAAATATGTTAAAAATAATTGGCTTTATTGCGTTCACATAAGGTTTCACTAACTTCTAATAACAAATCAATAATCTTAAAATGAGTTAGTGCACAAATTATCTAAGTGAACACCGCGGTGACATACATTGAACAATTTTCTAAATAAAGAAAAAATCAATACGACCATTAATGTGGTCTTTCGTGGGCAGCGTCCCAATGGGACGCATATTCATTACGTTATAGCTTATGAGCGATTACACATAAATAAGCTAATTGTGTATTTGATAAAGTAAACAATGCATTTATTTGGCCAATGCAAAAGTTTTATTATTTAAACAATGCACAAAATGTTTAATTCTTTGTATTTTTGGCGACATGGGTCCGACTTGAGGACGCTGACATTTTGGTAAAGGGAAGTAACTCCTCAGAGCTGAATTTTCCTTGAATAAGAACATCTAGATACGTTCTTATGGCTGATAAATTATCATTATATTACTATATTCAATTCATAATTTATGTTTTGGAACCATGTACCAAAAATGGGTTAATGGAAAATTAAGTTACAATTCCACTTACAATATGGACTAGCTTTATATTAATCGCTATGATTATTGATACCTATTCGTTTCGTCCATCCAACGTTTAGATAATGGTCAGGTCTAAATATTAAGGCCGCTTGCAGATGTCAAGGTCAGGAGATGTAAACAGGGTAGGGCACGCGATTGTTGCCGGGGATTGTGGCTTAGGTTTAGGGCTATGTCTAGGGTTAGGGCTAGCGCTGTTATCATCTCGTGATCGTTACAAAATCTGCAGCTCGCCTTAATATTTAGACCCAACCTTTAGATAAGAGGTGACAGATACCGCCCTCAAATGACGTCACTCAAGACGTCGCGTCACAAATTGTCCATCCCAGAAATGAAATGGGGTTTAATGTTCTGCTTTTCTACACTAATCGGGAATCAACAAGTTTCGCTAGTGTGAACTGCAAGGGATGACAACTATGCTTGGGAGAAGGTCTCAGGCTAGTAATTATTTGCCCATTGACTTCAATGTTAAATGGCTGTTACATCACAGGCTGTAGCTTTTTGCTCAACATTCCGTTGGTTCCAATCTTTATAGGCACAATGGGGACCACATTTGGCAATATCCTCATCATAATTTTGTAGGGGGTTGACCGTTTAGATTTTTTGATACGGGGATTTGATGTTGACTGGGATGAAAATCTCACTTCCGAAACAATGATTGCTCTGCAGAAAGACACTTTACACTCCCTATTCCTCCGTGTAATATCATCAGTATTACCCAAATATGCTGTGAAATTGCAAATTTGATCCCTTTTCTCCAATTCTAGACCAAAAAGCCAACCCAAAAATGCAGGAAGAGTGGAGAAAAAAAATTATGGGAAAAATTGTCCATTTATAAATAAGGGGATATAATTATTAGTCTGGGTCCTGTATACCTCACATGTTGCTGCTGTCTGAACAAATCTGTTGTTATCTAATAAACAAATATATATGCAATGCCCTGGCCAAAGATTATGAAAATCCATGCATTTTCAGATGAGCAGTGCGGCATTCTGCAAACACTATAATACATCAGAATTTTAGACAGAAATATAAAAGCTCATGAATTTTGAATTCCACACAACATTTTTATTTTTGAACATAAATGCTTTCTGTAAAAAGATGAGATAAATTCAATATAAATCCAAATTCAACGAAAATACTTTAAAACAGTCATCATGATGCAATATTAGACTTTTTAACACTTTCATCGAAAACCACACAGTTTTTCTCTGTTAACGTAGTTTCAAGTGCCAAATTGTGGTCAAATCTAAGATGTTGAAACATGCCTATCAATTTTAAAATATCACCTATATAGCTGTATTTCCATAGGATAAGTAAGTTAAAATAACCTGATTATGTAACACTGCAACAGCTTTATCATCCCCCCCCCCAGTATGGAATCTGATAATTTAAAAGCACATGAATTTTGAATTCCACAGAACATTTTTATTTTTGAACATAAATGTATCCTGTAAACTTTCTAACACTTTCATCGAAAACCACACAGTTTTTCTCTGTTAACAGTTTCAAGTGCCATGAAATAAGGGGAAATAATTACTAGTCTTGAGTCTAGAATGACCATGCACATACGAAACTTAGGCTGCCTGTCTACAGATCTATTCTCGAAGTATGAACCTCTCTAGATGTAGAATGGCACCATACAGAATACTAAATAAAAGGGAAAATTTGCCCAGACAGTGGCGTTTCCGCCTCATCTTCATCGAATTCAGGTGACCGGGTGTTTTTCTTTTTCACTTAAAAACAATGTCCACAGTACTAAAACTCGGCACAGACAAATAGCACGTTAAACCCCATTTCACGTCCATATTAAAGATATAATTTTAAACAAACATTATGCAAGAGCTAAATTTGCCTTTTGCAGGTCTTTCTTTAGGCCTGTGATGTTATATAAACTATTAATTAGACATTTATTAGCATTAAAAGGCCTTAACCAACTCTCGGTGGGTGCCATCTTATGTGTCGGATTGTCAC